CCCCAAAACCCCAAAACCCCAAAACCCCAAAACCCCAAAACCCCAGGCATGACCAAATTTATTGTAGGTTTAGTAAATTTTAAGTATATCTAAAATGGGCTCAGCTTGATGAGTGCCTGACCGAGAACAGAGGAAGGGACATTTGATTGATGAAGAAATGAATGGATTGGGAAGTAAGCTAGTTCACATGGGGTAGAGGAGGGCGAAGACGTGAGAGATGGGGCTTATAGAGTTGTAAATTGACATTAAATTATAGCAAGACTTAGAAAAACAAGTAGTAAAGCATCACTTAGCTTATGCTCAGTCGAAAGAGAGAAACCTGGCAAGGATGGATCCCACATACTAGAGACCCAGTCTGCCTCCAGGATGGCATCAGGTTTATCAGAGACCGTTTCCAAACAAAAGCCCAGCGATAAAAAATTATCCTCAAAAATCTCCGAAAAAGACAAGAAGGATGAAGATCGAAGCCAAATGTTCTCCTCAAGTCAGGCTTATAACACCAGGATGACGATTCATCGAAACACTCCTATCTCTCATGACTTCCCTTTTAGTCCTCAGAAGTATCAAGAAGGGGGCGAAGGAAGATTGACTGTCTACAACCACATCAAAGAAAGCAATCTCATCGAAAAGGTTGACATATCTTCGAATAGGCCAAAAATAAAATACTCAGAGGCCTACACCCACAAGTCTGGTGATACACTAGACAGATTTGAAGACTTGCCAGATCTTGATCAGAGTCTTAAAAATTTCTACGAAGCAGATGCTTGATTTAATGCCGACCATGTCTATGACCTGCTCAGCAAGTATGAAATGAGTAATAAAGATGAAGACTGGGAACAACATCTTGATGAAGAGGACTATAAGGCCTGGACTTCGATAACTGGACCTATTTTGAGCTTCAAACACCCCTTACTCTACTCTGAAATGAAGTTTGATGGATCTACAGATATGGAAAAACTCTGAGAAATCATGACAGATTATGAACAAGCTCTTAGGTGGAAACCTCATCTCCAGTATGTCAAAGTTCACGATAAGTTCTGCCAAAATGGGATCATCGTCCAGTCAGAATATTCAAAAGTTGATTATGAGATTGGCCCTAGAGATTTTGTGGAAAAACAAATTGTTATGAATTCTTTCGATGCAGAAGAGAAACCTATAACAATTATTTTCTGCTCCTCCATCCCTTCGGATATATATCCTTCTCCAGAGAAAGTGAAGCGCTGAGAAACCCTCTTAAGCTTAACGATCTTGGGTGAAGATGGCCATGGAAGTGCCCTGGTCAAGAACTATATGTTAGTCGACTCAAAGATTGCTCTTTACTCAAGAATGCTATTGCTGAAGCATTTACCAAAGAAAATTGAGATCATTCACCAAAGTATCAAAAAGCTACTAGATGAATAATTTTGGGTTTTATTTTGCGTCAATCTTAGGATATTATAGAGGGGTTTTGGGGTTTTGGGGTTTTGGGGTTTTGGGG